GGCTCAAGCAGACCATGGTTATTCAAATGAGAACACCAAAAAGGACAAAGTGTTTGTCAATTTTTTCCAAACTTTTATTTGATGACAATATACAAGAGCATGTTGAGCACGTAGACCCTCGCTGACTGTCCGGACTCACTGTGAGGAGAGAACAGCAGAATTAGGACAAGAACCAAATCAAGTTGAATCATTAAACACTCAACATGTGAGGAACATCAGGTTTTAAAAAAGGTAAAATGGGACCACACATGTTAAATTGTTTATAAAGTGAGAAACAGTTTTAACCTTAACACCATAGTAGAAAACTTCATGTTCAATTAATAAAATTGTTACGACTTTAATGGGAAAATGTTTCAGTGAAGAATTCACACGTTGATAAAGCAATATTTCAGCTGCCCCATACAAACACTAACCTACAATCTACATGCTACACTGAGGTTCTGCATCTAAAAACAAGGAATCTGGAGCACTTAGAAAGCACTTGTCTAGTGAGCCAGTGGACACATCCTGAAGGATAAGCTCAGTATGTAGCAGAGACAGAGGGATGAGGGGGTGGAACAGAGGAAAAACCTATGAAACAACGTGGGAAAAACACTGGAGGAAAACTGCAGGGGGAAGTAGGGTGTGACATGCATGACACAGCTCAGGTCTATCAGCTCTGGATGTGCTACAAAGTAGCACACCATGCTGCTTCTATACCTGCACAACGACACCTCATTTCTGCAAAAGAAATCCATGGGAAGCAAAATCAAGAACAAATATGGGGGGGGAAATAAGGTTAACGTGTTGAAACTTGAATTGTGGAACAGAAAAGATCTGAGTGGACTTTACTCTACAGGTTTTGTACTACATTCCATAGAAACCATGGGATACAGGGTTAGTTAGCATCAATATATTTATAAACCATTGTGTGGTAGCCATTACAGAGGGTAGTGCATGATATTATATGCAGACCAGCAGGGATTACATTTCACAGACCTATTCTAGGGGAATTCAGGGTTTTTAATCTCTTCATCTTTCCAAAACATGGAGTGAAGCACTATTAGCAGTTGAAGGTGACCATTAGCAGTGGGAGCAGGAATGTTGCCTGGTTAAATGTAAACCAGTGGGTCACATTTGATATTGGATGTATTGTGTACATCCAAGGTGAAAAGCAGCTCAGATGATAGTTGAGGATGTAAATGCTGGGAAGTTAACGAGTGTCTATCAGGCTCCGATTAGCTGCACACTGTCGTTAGTCTATCCATGAACATTTACCTTCTACAGTTCCAGAAGAACATTTGATACGATGGAACGATGACAAAGGAAATTAAAGCAGGAAACATTGTGAAAAACAAAGATTATAGCAAGGTGGGAAAAGATGAGAAATTAAATTAAAGGAACAATTATGAACTGAAATGTACAGTTTGATTAAGAAAGACAAGTTATATTTATCCATGGTTGATTACCACTGGACTACTTCATGTTACAGGTTCTACAGGCATGTTTTCTCTGCCACCTAATGACATTATGATAAGCCTTCTGAGCAGTGCTTCTTCAGGACATACTGGACATTACAGTGACTTGTTTTAAAAGAAAGTGAGGAGATGGGCCAGCGATGCTGGTGCTAGCTGTTTATGCTAACTTAGGTAGAAGGAAACAAGTGACAGAAACGGAAGCAAAACAAGAGTTGCAGTCTTGCGTTCCACCGTTAGAGGCAGGTCTTGGCAAGTACAGGATTTTTCTTTCAAGCTTAACTCAAGGTTTCTGCTAGACTGGTCATTAACAGCTGCTAATGCTAACAATGTCTATGTAGAAAAAAACATACATATAGCCCTTTTAAAGTTGTGCAAAACTACAATTGTGGTCAGCGACACTTTGTCAGAAAGTATGCAAAACAGTGAAATTACCTTCTTGCCAGCAGCACCCACACTGGCCTTCTTGGTGCCTCGTACTTTCTTCATTCTGTTCTTGCGTTCCTTGCGCTGTTTCCTTGAGGTCTTCTTTTTCTCATAGAGACCGTGCTGTGGAACACAAAGGAACAAGCATGTCATTACAAGGTGTTGCTTTAATTCATCCAACTATAAATCAAGGGATCTGCATATTGCAGTTTTCATGTCAACCCTCAACCAATCATCGTCAAACTTGGAGGGTGTATTGCTGTAGATCTAAGAACGTGCAGTGTCAACAGATATTTGCTTTGAATGAGCTGTTCTCAAAAATAGACAAAATATGATCTATAAATCTTGTGCAGTGACTGAAGATCCTAATTGTGACTGATGTCAGTATATGCGACAAACAAAGTGACAATGACATAATGATTGTTTTGTGGCTGAAAACTCTGCCTCTACAATAAGCAAAGACTGCCCGCCTGACACTGGGTTAGAGATTCAGATAATACGACACTGAAGCTGCAAATTGTTGCAGAGTTTAAAGAGGCAGGATGCTTCTCTGCTGTTTAACACCACATAAAATTCAGCATTTGCCCATGAACTGGCAAAGCTTTCATTTTGATGCGTAGCCTGACTGTAAGAACTCACCCTGGCCAGTCTGTGTTTTGGCTCATTCTTCTTAGCGTAGTCTAGAGAGTCGTAGACCATAGCAAAGCCTGTTGTCTTGCCGCCACCAAACTGAGTCCTGAAGCCGAAGACGAACACGACATCAGGAGTGGTCTTGTACATCTTGGCGAGTTTCTCCCTGATTTCAGTCTTGGGGACTGTGGCCTTGCCGGGATGCAGGACATCGACGACCTGCAGGGACACGCAGACAAAGGGGGAAACATTATAAAAGCGACAGAAGGTGTGAAAGATGAGAACTCCAAGGTGGAAGAGAACATGGATGCTCACCATTTGCTTCCTCTGAAGGAGCCGGTTCGTCATGAACTTGCGAGTCCTGACTGTCACTGTGTCATTCTGAATTGGGGGGAAAAGGAAAGATCACACTTACTATCACAGTTTCTTAGAATCATCTCCCACAAATGCTAATGCAACAAAAAGTGGCTCATGAGCTTCTCAGCCATCATGCTGGTGTAGATTCTCAGCTAACACGTGAACTAGAAATCCTCCACAGCCCTGACACTGTATGTTCTTTTACACACTGAAAATAAATGGATAAACCCGAGTATGTGTATTTAAGATATCCGTGGTCGCCTACACTGAGGGCCTGCTCACGTATGGCGGCGTACTGTGTGCTAACGTTAGCCACAAGGAGCTACTACTTCACTTCCCGGTATAATTAATACTTTTAACATCTATGTCCCATGCTTAGGAGCAGCTGTGTAGGAGGAGGAGGCCATTTCTGAAGTGAAACCGTAGGAAAATATAAAGAGGGAATAATATTCGCTGTCTCAAAGCGGGTTGGATCCAGTGTGAGTGTGTAACGTCAGTCAGGATAGCATCAGGACGGTGCCGCTTCATTTTCACTCAATTCTCTCCCACCCGCGTCAATATCCACATTTTAATATAAAGCAAACTTTCCCCATCACCCAGTCTGTATTAATCGTGTGTGAATGGACGGATGGCCGCGATGATGAACAGATTTTACTTTTAATTCTCGCCACAACACTCACCATCTTTACGTCGGCCTCGCTCAGGGACGTAGAAAAGGAGGAAGGACCCGCAGGCGGCCGCAATAATGCCTGCTCAAAAATGGCCCGGGCACGCACAAGCTATGCCTGATTAAAAATCGTAAAAAAAGGTGAGGAACGACTTATTTTTTAAAAGCATTTTTAAGTTTGGTTCGTGTTACTACACACGCTGGGTGAAGAAATAAGACCTGTAACCTATTTCTCCTTTCTCTCATTAATTAAACTACTTTCAAGTTTGTAAATAAAATACAAAAACTGTGGAGTCAAATCGAGGGCTACGCCTGCTGGGTGTGTGCATTATAAAATATATAATATATAGTAACTATATTACTAATGTATACAGCATTGTATAGTGTACAACTGATATAAGGGGAATCCTCTTGCATCCATATGGTGTCAGTATTGCAGGAGTCACTGTAATCTCTGCAGCACTGTTGAGATAAATAACAGGAATGAAATGATGTAATAAAAGTGCAAATGCATGCACAGATATACACATTTCACAATAATTTAGATGTATTCATGGTCAGATTAACACACTGGGGAGATGGGACCTGGGCTACACTTTGCACTTAGTCTCTATTGATCCCTTTCCTCAGCCATCACCCACCACGCTCTCTACATTGTTTATGTACTCTTTGTTTATGTCACTTTCCAATTCTAATTAAGTACAAAACACCCAGCAGAAACTAGATGGCATCTTCCTTATTTCCCTGTGCACCAAGAAACCCTTCTACAATGCTCAACCAGCACTATGCTTGTGTTCATTTGATTAAACACCATGCTGGAGTTTTAACTCAATGAATTAAATCAACATTTTTAAACAAAAGCAAACATAATTTTGGTGTATATTTGTTTGCAATGTCTGTTTTTACAAATAAATTACTAAAGCCAAATGACATCCAAGAAGAACGGCTCCAAAAGAAACACATGCTTCATGAATGTCACAATTCTCAAAATATTGATTCCAAGATTAAATGTGTGCAGTTTGAAAATGACCAGTCTGACCTTCTCTTCATATCCACTTTTGCAGTTTTACAGTACTCTAAGAAACTGTGGGTCATGTACACAGCTAATAACTAAACAGCATACATTTACATACATTACCCTTCTTTAAAGACAGTATTTGCTAATATGCATATATTAGTCTGTAAGAGAAATACAGTTGGTCACCTGAGGGAATAATTGGGTCCCATGAATGAGGGCATGAATGGGAGAACAAAGAGATTTTATTTTTAGCTTGTTAATGAGCACTTGTGATGTGACATTTCTGATGAGGAGAGAGCTCCACTCTGCTGAGCATGAATCAGTGTAACTGAGGTAAAAGAACACTGTGTTAATCAAATAATGAGTGAACATATCTAGACATGTTGAATGACTCCATCTCTGTTTTTGTCTGTGTCTGAATAAGCAAACAAGCACACAAAACATCGCATTTTCTTTGTTACGGAACTTTATTGATCTCGCAGCAATAATGTCCACTGCCGTTGGAGATTCAGTGAAAATAAAAGTTGTTTAAAATCTGAACAGATGGTAACAGTTACTTTGTTCCACATCTCTTTCAACACAATGTTAAAGCCCTCATTGTCAAACCAAACTGATTTTATATAAATCTGCAATCCGAATGACTATGCTGTTATACAGAGCTTTATCGCCAAAATTAAAATGTGCAATGCAAATCGGGTTCAAGCAATCCCCTCGATGTACTCGACACCAAACATGGCCAGAGTTAATTACAAGCCCAAAATAAAAAGGAAATTAAATAAAATCTATGAAATATATCGTGTCAGCCATTCAGTGGTTCCATTCACGCAGAGAAATTAATGAATGGATTTTAAATGCAACAAAAACACAATGTCTATCGTGATTTTTTTTTTGGGCCAAGTTCAGAGTTACTACTTGGACTGAGCACAATAAGCAGTAATGACTATGATGACAGACTAAATGAGCGCGTGGCGCTCTTTTAACCACATCACCCTACGTACTTCAGAATCCCAGAATGACACGAATGTCATCACACGTTCAAACTTCACAGCTGCATGAGGAAGGAAATTATGAAAGGAAAAAAAAACCCATAAAACCTATTTGTTTCTCTCTCAAGTGTTAAGTACAATGTTACCTATTCAATGTTACAGTGAAAAAATAAACATCTGTTGGAAAGTACAAATTGATGACAAGGAGCCTAGGTTTATAGTTACTGCATTTCATGTCAAGTAAGGCATGGGCAGACATGACACGTGAACAGGTAACGTAAAGTGGATTAAGGACACTGGGGACAGATTTGTAGATTAAGGGACAGCCTCCATCAAGCCCGGTTCAAACAGTGTTTCCTGGTTCCTTGACCAATCCAAAGGCTTGACAGCTCTTATTCCCAAACTAATCACCCTCAATACCAATAAACTGTATTCAACAATAAAATGCATATAAAACATCAGGATTTATTTCAAGTTTCTTAAAAAAATCTCATATTCCACCCATTAATTTAAATTTAACCTATTCCTATTTGTTCTACATGTGTAGCTGGTCTGGAGATTCAGAAAGTATTTACTCCTTTTCTTGGACCCTGTTCAGATCTGATATTAACTCTGTCCCGAGAGATCTGATCACAAGTGAACAGCGTGAAGTTTGTCTGTTCACACCCGACATTAAAATTTGTCCTGGAAGCATCTCCTGGATCTCACTTACCCGCTCTATATGCAAATAATCATTGACATCATTTGGTCTGTGAAGACAGAATGATGTTTTTTTTACGCAGTCTGACTTTACAGATGAGTCCAATGACAGCATTTGTGAGAGTGTGAGAGTGTGTGTGTGTGTGTGTGTGTGTGTGTGTGAGAGAGAGAGAGGAGTAGTGTACTAAGTGAATCAATGAGCTGAATGCAGGTATTAAGATTTGACTAATTTGAATTAAAGACCTGAATTTGGGGCAGACCCCTTGTGATCAGATTAATCAGGACGGATGTTACAGGTGTGAACACTCTTATGAATGAACACAACTCCCCCGCCAAAACAATAAACCAGTTAAGCCTAAGTAGGTTTTAAAAGTGTTTTCACGTTTCACGGCAGGGGGTAAAATGTGTAAATTAAATTTAGAGCAAGATCGTGACGACCAAAGAGGTTTGATTATTGATATATTTTTCTAAAATCTAATTTTAATGAAGAGCGTTTAGTTGATGGATTTACAATTAGCTTTATAGTAATAGTGGGAAATACAATTATTTGATGAATTAAAAAACGATCAACGTCACAGCCTAAGATTCACTTTAAAAAAATGTTCCTCTGAAAATCAGAAAGTTTCACAGGCTCGTGTTGCTTATGACAGCTAAAATCTTGGAATTGCATGAAATTATCGCCTAATTGGGAAAATGAAAACAAGTAGCATCCCTTTTACAGACCGTCAGGGGGAAACTAAACTGACCAAACAAACGATAATAGATTGTGGACCTTTTCAAGTAGTTCCAAAAACAAAAAAAGAAAAACAAATCACTTAAATAACATGCACACACAGGCCTGCAGAACCAAAGTCTGAATATGAATATCAAAGTTTTTGACTGATTCTAAGGCCAGTTTTAAAAAATGACCACTTCCTCCCCCAATTAACTCAGAATAGTACGGGTTTGACAGTGAGCTCTGTTGAGGATCCCGACTCAGAAAGCTGTAAAATGAGCACTGCAGTCGACTAATTGGACCTTGTGTCTGGGTACATAATATCCAGGCCTGAGTGGTTGTTGATTTGTACAGCGATGGGTGACCATGGAAATCTATACAAAATAAACCTTCCAGAGTTGGCAGCACTGTACCTGTATGCATGATATACTGACTCCCCATGGTTTACACACATTACATCCAGCAGTGAGACAGAGAGTTAAAGAAGATGGCTGCCATGAGGGCTCACAACATTGGATTCTACAAGCCAAGCCACTGGCACATGTGATGCCAGGTCATTTGCTTTTTGCTGGTGCTGTTCCTGTCAGTTAGATGTCCATTTCAAACTGAGCATCATCACCTAGAAAAAAAAAGAGGTGTGAGAGGATCAGGCTGGATTGTTTTAGAGAACTGGTGACGGCCAATACCGATAAAAAAAATTCCTATTACATGAGTCTTACCAGTTGTGGGCTTGCCATCACGGTGGTTGATATGGTTGTTGGCTTCGTTCTTCCTGTTCTCACGTAGGACATTTTGGCTGGTCACTCCGGGGATGACAGGCAGGTGAGCCGGCGGAGTCTGGGCCATGGGGGAGTTGCGCCTGTCCAGGAGGAACTTCCGGTCGTAGATGATCCGGGTCCCTGCAACAGGACAAACATTAAGTGTCAGTTATTCTGCTCCATCTGAAGAAATAAATGTTTAATTGGGTGATTAGTCAAATAATTGACTTTTCTGCAAGCACTTTCCTTTTGCTAAAGTAATCATTATAATCATCATCAGTCTCACAGTGATGGCCCCAGTTGAAATTTCCAAACCAAATAGGGCAAAAACAGTTAAGTGAAGAAAGGTGAATGTGAATCACCAGCAACATGAGCCAGCCAGTGATGACTTCACTTCCTCTAAGTCAGAGCACTGCTTATCAGCTGTGTGAGTCTTTCCTTTGTGCTGAAGTCCTGTCTGTCCAGTACTGTACCTGCTCTTTGTTTTCTGAGTCAGAATAATCTCCATTTTGATAGCATCGCAGTATACTTTTTTATTTGATTACCTACAAATGAATCTGATTTATTGTCCTTTTCCATGGTAAACTTCTAGATTCCTCATGGCAGGAAGACACAGGTGGAACCAGTGACGGCATTCATTTGTATTATCTGATTTCACTAAACTTAACCTTGGCCGTCCCAGATCACCTGTTTTACAAAACTGGTTTTCAACCGACTCAGTTCAAATTCTGACTGAAATGTTCATTTATAACCAGGATAAAAATATTCAGATGTGTGTTTGTGACGCACTGTTGAAACAACACCTGAACCACAAATCACTACCACAGCTGCTGGTGCAGCTGTTGAGCTCTTCTCACATTTTTAATGCTATAAATAATAATCACTTAACTTCAGAATCACCATTATTTTCTGAATCATGAAGGCAAATCAATCAATAAACATCCCTAGCAGGGATATACAGTGTCCATGCTAGAGTTACTGTACTTCCTTACATGCAATGTTGTGAATCATATGTTGCAAGACAAGCTGTGCTACAAACGACATGACACAGAGTTGACGTGTTTGCTTTAAGCTACATGTCACGACAATGACCAAGATTGACAAACCAAACGTTTCCTTAATCAGGCAGCGAGGCTTCCATCAGAATCTCTGCGCTGCAAACCAGCCAATCGGAGAGCGGCCTGGGAGCGTGTGGGCGGGGCCAGGCTTTGTTTTTGTTTTGAACAGGCCACAGTGACAGAAGCGCTCGGGTTTACTGAGAACACCTGCCCTCCATTTTGTTTCCAGACACATCCCGAAGCCCACACGGGCTGTCCCTTTACCTCCGGGGGTGGTGGAGAATAAAGTGCCTCCGGGGGTGGTGCAGTAGTCGTGAGGTAGCTGCGTTGTGTCGTTGATCAACACCGTCCTGGTCGGGATGGCCCTGCTCTCGCTCAGCTGACGACTGGTCGACATGTTCCGATTCGGTGGCAAATCCAGCAGCTACAGAAAACCGGGAGTGTTAGCAGTGGAAACCCGGGCCGATCCCCTCTCTCTTGAATCTTTCTGTCTCCTTTCGTCCTCCCAGCCGTCAGCTCCGTCCCCTCCCTCAGCAAGACAGGAAGAGAGACAGGCTGCTGGCGGACGTGACGTCATCAGGCCGCCAGCGTCTCTACTTCTCGAAAATAATAATAATCTGTGATATCATATATTGTCTGTTCTGATTCATCACATTCAGCTTGTGTTCGTTTATGTGAAAGTTTGTTTATGACCCCTGTTTATTTCTATTTGTTTATGTAAGTCAATGTGGGCTTTATGTCGTTTCTCTCATAAGTAAAGTTTATTTAAAAGATTGTGGTGGCGCATTTTAAAGATAAGAATTGTATATTGACTTCATTGTAAACCAAATACTTTTGTGTGGTAAAATTCTATAAATGCAGAATGGCAAATATCACCCCAAATCTTACAGGTTTTCTCTATGAATTTAAGAATAATCTAACAAGACTCTACACCTTATAGACACCAAAACCAAGACTGTACAAATATACATTACATTTTATTTTCTCTACTTTGTATTATGTTAAAAATAATTTATTGATCAAAAAAGATGTATCTACTGTTTTATTTTTAACTATACACACTAAGATTAGATTTAAACAACATAAATTTACTATTCAATATATTATTCAGTTGAGTCTAAAAAGTACAATTGAATGGAAACAATGGGGAAATCAATGTGTCAAAGATACTGGCTCATTGTCACAGAATTTACATTTATAATCCTCCCAACGCCAATATTTCCGATAGTCCGTAAAGGCGTCGTTGACAAACAGCGCATGCGCGGTTTTCGGTCTAGCCGCCTATGCTCAGTCTGACCCTCGCTAACTCTTGTTCCGCCGCCATCCTCCATCCAGCACCTTCTCAGCCTCGTCCTGCAGCCAGACATGAGCTTCACCGTGGAGGAGAGGGGGGCCCCGAACTCCCTGAGCTTCCGCCTGTTCTTCAGTAAGTGCAGCACGAGCGGCGCGGAGGAAGTTCTCTGTGTGTTTTACTTCTTCTGAGGAGCCGGAGCCTCTCAGGCCAGCGAACCTCCCACGTGTCGTTTATTCATCTGCTGTCGCTTGTTTATTCAGCTCATCACTAACAGCCCGGAGCCTCTGGAACTAAAGCTAATGTCCGCTCGTTTCAAAAGATAAATATGAGGGGTCTGGTTGTTGTGAGTGAGCGAAGCAGCTTCGCCGGCTCAGAGCTCCAGTGAGATGGCGTGATTAGTGAATTTCTACGTGTCACGTCGTCGACCTGACTTGCATCAGATTTCCTGCGTGAACTTGGCGGAGGAGAGATGATGTTTCCGGAAAATTATAAAACCATACGAGTCAATGCCCTCTCTGATTAGAAGACCTTATTAACCCACTGATATTGATAGGAGCAGACTGTGGGATGATTATTAACCGCATGGTGATTATGTTTTTCTGTTATAGTTTGTTGCAGTAATTATTATCACGATCATTAACATTTTTCAAATCTGAGCCAGAAATTTAAAACCTATTATGTATCAAACCTTCTCATCGCCCCTGCCCAGTGCAAATGCAATATATTGATATTTTTAAAGTGTGTTTTGTTTTTATCGATTAAAATCATATTAAGATAATTACTGATGTTGTTTTATTGCCCTGGCCTTATTTGTTGTTCTTGTTATTAGTAAAAATTACACGTGCCAAATAAGTCAACTTTTTAATATAAGACTTTAATTAAATTAAATGAAGACCATGCTAATTGTAATAATCACATATAATAATAATAATAATAATAATGATAAAAAATAATAATGATACTAATTAATAATCACTGATTTAGTTTTCTTGAATTGCTGAGTTTGATTTGGATTTTATTTACTTTGCTATCTTTGCACTTTCATTCTGTTCAGCACCTTGTAACTCTGAATAGACGCTTTAGAAATAAGATTCATTATTATTACACAAGTCAAATAAGCCCCTGGACGCAGCAGTTTGAATATTTATAGTAACTGAAATAAATGGCCCCTATAGCCACCAGGTTGCAAATTGCTTAACACACTGTCAAACTGGCTCTACTTGTTCCATTTTGTTATCTGTGCAGAAAGCTACCCCTTCAAAGTGAAAGTAAACTAATGAAAGCCTGTGTCTTCGATTTCAATCTCATGGGAAATGAAGGCTCCATTTTCTTGGTGTGGCTACTCAGTTGTTGTCACATATTATTACACATATATATGTATAATAACAGCACTTGTATCTACCTGCCTCCACCGAGCTAATGTATCTTTCTGTTTTACAGAAAATGCTGAAGGAAAATACATCTCGCCATTGCACGACATACCAATGTATGCTGACGAGAGCCTGGTAATGTAGCATCTGTTGCCTTTATGCCATTAAATCTGTAGACATGTGTGCACCCTTTAAATCTACCCACTGGTTAAACTCCACCTGTGGTGCTGCCATGAATATTGAGTTTTTGCAGCAAAGGTAGTGAAGTGCTTGAGGTAATGCGTTCGAGAATAGCGAGGTCATAGTCTAATCGTGAAGGCAGTGGCCTTTACTCCGTATATTCTGAGTGCTGTGTCAATATCTGTGTAAACTGCAGATTATTTATTATCTTATCGTCCTGAAACAATATATGCTCTTTATGGTGACGTTTCAACCAAAGCAATAATTGAATAAAACACAGAATGTCACACATTATTTAAGGATGTTATACTTTGAAGTTGTGTCAACTTTAGTTGTGTAATAAGCTGTTTCATAATAACTGAATGGCTGATTCTTGTCTCTTACAGAACATCTTCCACATGGTTGTTGAAGTACCAAGATGGACAAATGCAAAGATGGAGGTATGAATCTGCTTTTAGCTTCACCACAGTGTGTCCAACAGGTTTTTAAAGTTTTCACTGCTTTTATGACCTGTGGAAGTAAAATAATCCTTCAGTTGAAAGTTAAACATTTAGATTCTGAGATGAGTTTTAGCTTTCTCATTATCTAAACTAGTGCTGGTTGTAAACCTGCCTGTGTGGAATGACCTGTTTGCTTGGCCTGTGGTGATGCTGGTTGCAGCTTTCAAAAGTAACAGCATAATTTATTTTCAGATTGCTACCAAAGACCTCCTGAATCCCATAAAGCAAGATGTGAAGAAGGGCAAGCTGCGATATGTTGCCAATGTTTTCCCACATAGAGGCTACATATGGAACTATGGAGCCATTCCTCAGGTTAGCAAACATTTCTGATGGTGATGTGTTCTGTCCTGCAGTGTTTAAACTGCACAGCACATTTTTTATATTTGTTTTGTAATGTTTCAGACCTGGGAAGATCCCAAACACAAAGACGGAGACACTGGCTGCTGTGGCGACAACGACCCCATCGATGTCTGTGAAATCGGCAGCAAGGTAAAACGCTGGCAGGGGATTTTGCAGCTCATCGATGTCATTGTTTGTTTTGTAAATACATTGAATTAAAAAAAGGAAATCTCTTCCAGGTGTGCTCCCGTGGGGAGGTCATCAAAGTGAAGGTACTCGGGGTCCTGGCCATGATCGATGAGGGTGAGACTGATTGGAAAGTGATTGGGATCAATGTGGAGGACCCTGAAGCCAAAGACTTGAACAGTAAGCACCACAATTTATTTGAGCCACTGGCCTTTTTCTCGCCCTGTGTCTGTTTGAGAAGTCCGGCATCTGAACACCTGTGGTTGTCCATTTTCAGACATCAGTGACGTCCAGCGCCTGAAACCCGGCTACCTGGAGGCCACAATCGACTGGTTCAGGAGATACAAAGTGCCTGATGGGAAACCAGAAAACCGCTTTGCCTTCAATGACGAGTTCAAAGACAAGGTGTCCATCAAACACACCTTTTTATTTATTTTCTTACTTAGATTAATCTCTAGCACTTGACTACTTTGTCAAAGTCTTTAATTTGCACTGCTCTGGGAAAGTATGGTTTCAAGGAAATACAAGTTCTTGTACTCAATGTAATGTGCAGATTTTCATGCATGAATGTCATAGTTAATATTTAATCTAACAGTTAGTGTTTCTTGTGTTTCAGGACTTTGCCATTGAAGTTATCAAGAGCACTCACAACTTCTGGAAGGCCCTCATCTCCCAACCGACCAACGGTGGTGAACTGAACTGGTAGGATACACACAACATTTCTCTTAAAGCTTTGACTTCATCTTGAAATATATTGAGTTTAGAAGTCTATAACTCATCTATAGGTATACAGTATATACACACATATCACAATTTCAATTCCCAATAAAAAATTGATAGAAACATTTTATTTTAAACCTTTTAAATCCAAAGCGTGATCATAGATTCTCCCAGTATAGTTTGTTTCACTTATGCTACAGCCCTTTGGTCACAACATTGCATTAGCATTAGCAAATAGCAGTAAGTAACCGTTTATCTGCAGCTGCACCCTCAAGGCACCATGGCCTTGGGCAGAGGTGATGACTTGTAGTTTCCAGTTTTGTCCTGGTTGACTTGTAAAATGAGTTATCGTTACATTATTAATACATTATTTAAATGAGTCTTTGTGGTTATGTTAATGACGATCTTAAAAAGTCAACACTTAATAGTGAAACAGTTTATCAACATTTCAAATGAAAAGTGCCCTTTAAAATCCAAAGTCAAATCTTGGATTTGGAGAATTGTGACACCACCAATATTTTATTCACACATGAATGTGTTTTTTTTTTCTTACAGCAAAAACACCTGTGTCTCGGTAGGAGACAGCTGTCACTGCTGCTCAGCGGATGAGGCGAAAGCTGCTGTTGATGTAAGTAACGTTCCATTTTTCAACGTAATTAATTTGAACTGTAGGCTTAATTCATTCTTGATGTTTCGCTCTGTTTTTAGATGCATCCTTGTGGAAAAGAGGAATGTATCCCCTCATCAGGTAGAACCTTCATACATACTTGTGTCGGTATTGATCAAATATAGAGAATGTGTCTTGTTTCTTTTATCTGTTGAGAGACTGACTGTTGTTATTCTGTTTTACAGTAGATAAATGGTTCTACTATGAGAAGAAGTAATCAGGAGCCTGTTTGGACTGGAGCAGACCACAAGGCTCATTTCTCACAGGACTACTTGATTATGGCCTTATATCAGG